GCAGGAGACTGAGGGTGCTTCGCCCATTGTTGCCCCCTGTCTTGAGATTTTCAACGTCCAATGTTAATAATGATGATTATGATGATAATAATAATGATGATGACGGTGAAGAGAATGATGCGACTACGACTGCCGCAGATTTAACGACGACTGGCACTGAGGCTCAGTCTCGACATGCGAGTCTCGAGTCTCGATTCGCAATTCCCGAGTCTGTGGCCAAGCCAAGTGCTAACGATTTGGCAATGGCCACGACGATGTCAGATGAGAGCAACAACAACAAGGAAATCCCTATCCCAGCAAAGCGTCGAAGTAACACTTAATATATATATATATATATATATATATATATATGTATGTATTTCTACATATGTATTCATTTCTGCAGACTGCAACAGTTGCACTAATTGGAGATGGGCGAGTGATAAAGATCGTGATCTCAAGCGAATAGTTTTAATCTAAAAGAATCGAAGCGTGAAATGGTTGGAAATTGTATATAATATAACTATTTCATACATCAAATTAGTGATCTTAGTTTAAGCATGGCACTATTGTGCCAAGATTTTAATTAGGCTTATTATATAAAAAAGTTATTATCTTTCAATATCCTATTCACCAGGATTTAATTCTTTTATTTTCTTATTTCTTATCTTTATATATGCAAATGAACATTTATATTTAGATTCATATTACGAGTGAAAAAAAAAAAAAACAATTTAAATGAAGCCTTTGCTTTCATATAATATCAATTATTAGAAAATAAATATTAATGAGCTTTCTCTTAATCTTAAAGTTAAGAATAAGAATACTAATAAGCTACTTTTATACCCGAAAGCTTTACCATGATTTATAATATATTACTAATATAATATTAGTCTTAAGTAGCATTTAGCTTCATTATTATTAATCGAAAATAATATTTAGTCTCAAAATCTTCTTCAATATGCTGACCATTGCGCATATATATATATATATATATACATGTACCTAAGTTATAAATAACAATTTGGCTAAGGCACAAGCTGTTGTGTGTGTAATTTGTTAACATAAATATCAATTATTTTGCAATGGGATTTTCGTGCGGGCAGCTCGCCAGATTAGTGCGTCACGTGCCCATCTCTAGTAGGCAATGGCGAATTGTGGCTACAGGTTTGCTACTCCACTCTACTCTACTCTTCTCATCTCTGTCTTTCTCTCTCTCTCTTTCCACTTCTCGTCTCTTTTTTTTTTTGGCATTAACTTTAGCTGGTGCTGTGACTGACCAAAGCGATGGACTCAACGGGAGTCTCGGGACTAGCCTCTGACACCGACACCACGAGACGTTGCAACAACAATAACAACAACAGCAGCGGCTACAACAACAATGTAACTTGCTGTTTGTATAAATTCTCGCCTTTCATTTTGGCGAGTAGTCACGATTTATGCGAAATCATTATAGGCGAGTTTTTAGTATTTACGACGCGACTTTTATCTGCAGCCCAAGGAAGAAGACACTTCACAGACAACCACAACAATATTATATATATAAATACATATACATATATGTGTGAGTTTATATATATGTATATATGCTGTGTACACTATAATTGCAGTTGAGTCAATTAAATACATAGATTGCGGCATGTCGATAAGGCATTAACCTTCCCCACGGCTCAAGCATTTCGTTTCTTTCTTCCCTCTCTATCCCTCTCTTCCCCTCCCCCTTCCCCTCTCTCACCCTCTTCCACAGAATGCCAGGTCATTTCACTTAGTCAAAAAATGAGGGATAAGAAAGAAAGGCCCAGTCGCTGCCGCAGTTTAAATAGCGCAACAATTTATGAAGACATGAAATAACTTTGATGTTTAGTTGCTGCACTAGAGTTGGTCGTTGGGTCTTCATGGAAAGCCATTTTCTATCTCTCTATTCGCATTTCCCCTTTTCTCTCATGACTTGCAAAAGCCCGGAGAAAAAAGTGGCAATTTGTAATTGTGTTAACCAAAAAAAGGTAAATAAAACGAGACAACACGGAAATGATTGAATTGTAGATAACTTGATGATTGTCTTTCATGTTGAAGTTTTCGAGTCTTATGCTAAAACCCTTCAGAAAACGGCAGGTAGAATATCTGCTGAAGGTAAAGATAGATATCTCTAAAGAGGAAACACTTCAGACAAAGCTTGACACAGTAAACGCTGACTACGCAAACCAATAATAAGTTGATACATCAACAATTATATATACACATTTATGCTATATACAAATCATTTTTAAAGTATAACATACATACGCCTCTTGGATCCAAAAACCTGAATGATAAACTCAATACTTCTCAAACAATTTCAAACGAATATTACTATAAATGTATATTATTATTAATTTGGATGTCGATATTGAAATTTGATCCAACATTAGTGCTCTGTGTATATCATAAGATAGATATAACATATCAAATGTTTTAATAAATTTTTAATTTTATAATTTAGTTCTTTTTTAGCGCATCCTTCATGCAATATACATATTGTATTTTATTGCTTTTCTAAACTCTTTTCGGTTTTGGCTATTTAAAAAAAATCATCATAATTTCAATTTTTGTTATAATTCACCCCCACCCCTAAATTTGTAAAAGGCGTATTTCAAATTGAAATGCATGTATTTGACAAAGCTCAAGTCTCTAATGCTCTGCATTTCAATGATATACTCAGGTGATCTCGTAGTCGAGCTATTTTATCAAGGACGACATTTTTTGCACATTTCTTGTTAATTGAATAGGAGAAAAATTGCTGAGTACTTAAGAGGATTTTTTGGGGTCACTGGCAGGGCTCATTTGCTGACCAAGTTTTGCCACCTGAGAGCTAGAGACAAGACTTTCACTACAACAACTACAGCTACATCTGAAAGAAATAACAAAAAGTAGAGAAGGCTAACCTTAATTCCACAAAAGAAAAACACTTCACACCCTGCCGGGCAGTCAGTCAGTTGGAGACTTAGCATTAACATTAACATTAACATCACCATCAACGGAATGTATGTGTGTGTGAGTTCGTGTGTGTGAATAATCAACACTTTTATGTGATCCAAATCCAATTCACAACTAATTACAAGCAAAGTCGAAGCGCTCACAATTAACGACAGCATTAAAAGGCGCGTTGAAAACACAAATGAGCCGATTGCGATGCAATGCGATTTCGATAGTTTATTTAGTTACTATCGAAATGAGGAAAGGGAGAGGAGAAGTGGGCTGTAGCCCAGACGAAGGCTGGCCAGATAATCGATTGGTTTATTGCTCTGCTTTTCCTCTTCGCACTCGGATTAGATAACATCGTTCAATCGATTGCACTACATTCCAGATTAATTCAATGGACACGCATACATAAGAAGGTCCCCAAACACCATGAATAGAGACAGTCGTTGCCCGGACTCTAATCGAAATTGCGACTAGCAAATTGGTTTTTCCGGTAAACCTGTTGAAAATTACCGCAGAGCTCCGTCCAGGCGGCAGAATTCAGGCACTAGAGATGAGCGATATATAAACAATTGAATGCGGTTAAAGTAAATGATATTCGGTATGGACCAAATAGAAAAACTTCTTGATAAAGTGTAATAAACCCAAATTACTCACTAAACAACGCCATATCTAGTCAAACAATAAAAAAAAAAAATAAAAAAATATACATACATACATATATATATATTTATATTTAAAATATTAAATTTAATTTTTCTTAATTAATTTAATACAAATATTAGTTTTTCATTACTATTATGTCCTTATTTTCCGAGGTTTAGTATTTTTTTTAATTTGTTGTCGATTAGAAGATCACATTGGTAAGGAAGCAATATAGCAAGAGATTAACCAGTGCACACAGATTGTGGTCTGCCTGCATGTGTGTGTGTATGTGCGGAAATTAAGCATGTATTTGTGAGCATAAGTAGTTTTGTTTATTTACACTTGTTTCCGTCATTCGTCGGCGTCTAAGCTTTAGTGTGTAGTTTTAAGTAAGCGATTAGTGCGTCAAATGAAATGGTGTGGGAGAGACAATAAAAATTTGTCAGTTGACAAGAACTAGAACAGAAACAAAACAAAATGAATTCAAACAAATAAGACATTCGAAGCATGCTTAAGTGGGCAGAGGCCCCTTCTCCTTTAATGTATTGGAAGTAACGGCCAAATCAACGAGTGACACAATCATGACACATACATACACAAACTCGAATAGAGAGGCTGATAGGCACTCAATGATTGTTATTAGTACATTTGCCTTCGAGTATGTACATCTAATTTGCCGTTGATGTGTGCATTAAGTTTTGTATTTGTATTGGTGAGCACACAAATTGTCGTAAAACATTAGTGTCCCCCGAGATTAGAGAGAGATAGAGCAAAAAGGCTGGCTCATCGTCCTTTTATTTGACATAGGCAATATTTATTGCGAATTCATTTTAATGCAGAGAAAGAAAACTAAACGCACACATAAACATACATGCACACTCACACACATACGTTCTCTGGTCTGACAAAGCAAAATGCCGAAATACGCCATCAAAATAAATAAAAACAAGACACACACACTCTCACACGCATGCATAAGCAGCGACGCAAAAGCTGCGAATTTCAGTAGCACAGCACTCGGCGCTGAGTGTAACAGAGTGAGAAAATCAGCATACGTAAAAGATAGAGCGAGAGAACGGCACAGCATGAGAGAGCGCAGCAGCGGCAGCGGCAGAGGGTTAGTTTAGCGTCCCACCCAAACGTGCCGAAATCCTTTGTGTATTGTGTGCGTGCGTCTCTCTTTCTCTTTCCCTCTCACTCTCTCTCTCTCTCTCTCTCTCTCCCTCTCTTTTTTCTCTCTGTCACTCACTGCAAGTTTGTTTGTCAACTAGCCAAACGGCGACATAAAAATGCGAATACAAAAAACTACTACAAATTGCTGTTGTTGTTATTATTGTGTCTGCTTCTCTCTATTGCTTTTGCTCTGCTTTAACACCTACAAATGGAGTCTGAACAAACGCAAAGATGGCCACACTTACCGATTAGTCGTGCAAAGTCTATGTAAATAAAAGCGCCGCTAATCCAAAAGTGTTTCCAAACTGCACAAAATTATGACACACACATGAACGCATATACATTGATAGCAGGCAGACACCGTTATAAACACATTCAAAATGCTGTCTGCACTTGCAGAAATTTAGGTAATTATTTATATTTGTATTTGTATTGCGCTTCTATATTTCCATTTATATATTGCTTTTTTATTTTGTTTTTGCTGCGCGTCGCGAACGAAATTCAGGAATTTCAAGTGGAAATCTTGTTTGAGCACTTTTTTGACGACGAAGTCGACCTGCGATTTCGACTGAGACTGCGACAGCGACTGCGACGGCGGCGTCGACGATTGGGTTGTTGTTAGCGGCAATGCTACCAAAAACGTTTTTGCACAACAAACAACAGAATTTAGTGTTTAATTGAGTTGCATTTAAAACCCGTGCGCTCCTTTATTAAATACATTCAAGCTGGGTTTCATTCACAAAAGCTTGCCGTTTGGCCCGTTTAAAAGTTTTTATTTTTCGTTTTCAATTTCATTTAATTTCGATTCTTTGCACTTAAGCCTCGTATGTGGTTTAAACTCGCTCACAACCGTGTAAACGACCGAACGCTTCAACGACTAATTCCACAATAACAAGATGTTTACAGCTGCTATAATCACGTTTAACAGATGCTGTTAAAGTTGGAGAGAGAAGTACGTTGTTGAGAGCGAAAAAACGCGCGCGCTGTCAAAAATAAGAGCGAACAGCGGAACATTCTGCTCAATTTTTACATACAGCAACATTCAGTCACCCTGTATGCGCTCTAGCAACATGTAAACTGTTGATAAAATTCAAGCAACTGTTAAGAGGTGAACCTCACTGTTACCGTAGATTTCTGACATTCACAATAGAGGATATTGCTGCCACCTTGTCGGTAATCCCATAAAGTAAAATGTAATTCAAGCAACGTTGACTAAATCAAATGTTTTACTAATTTAAACTTAAATAATAATTATAATTTCTGCTCTAGATCAATATTAATAATAATTTTTTACAGCTTTATTACATACCGTGGGATTTATTTTTCAATTCGACACCCTGGCAACTCTAATTGGCGGGAACGTGACTATTTAAAATTATTGAGCATTAGGTAAAGAAAAGTATTAAAATGACAGTCAAAAACAAAAAATTGTAGGTAAATTTTGCTGACACGCATGCTAAGGATATTCCTCTTGAACTTGCAACGTACGACTTCCTCTTCATCTTTTCTACTTTATGTGCGTTTCCGTTACAAAAATTTTGTTTTTTTTTATTTCTTTTTATTTGTCTGGTCAGGGTTTTTAATCGGATTAAATTTTCGCTCCGAACTGCGCAAAAGCGCCGCACTTAGCCTCCAGGCACGTAGCCTACACCTATTGTCATCAGATCGGAGATCTGGTTCTCTTTAATCATGACTTATTGTTGCGAAGAGGGTAGTTTGTGAATCCAATTAGAATGATTATTTTGCGAGAATAGTAGCTAAAACTGACAATATTCATAAAATATATGAATAAAGATTTTGGTCCAGGCAATACAGGGTCATTTCTGCTGTTGCTTATGTTGGTGATACACGCACACACATAATTATTGAATGCGTAACAATAATAACCGTTACTGAATGTATGTATGGGTCATATGATGCATATTTATATTTATGTGTGTGTGTGTGAATGAATGCATAAATTTAAAAATAAAGGGGAAATGTGTGTATGTGCTTTGCTTTCTGTATGTATGCGACTTATATAGAAGTGAGTTCCTATTTATATTTATGTACATACATATGTACAAATACAAAATCCTCCCCAGTGCTCAGATTTCTATCTATTAAAGAAAATAACATATTGTTTTTGTTCGTTATTATCGTTTGTTGTTTTCGTCAAATACTAATTAGTTTTCTATTATTACATAACTATTCGACATAGCTACAAATTATTATTCGTATTAAACTAGCGCTAATCAAGTCTAAGAAAGCAAGCAGATATGTGATTCTCAGTAGAATAGTCTATATGTATGTATATAGTATATATCTAATATATGTACCTTACGGTACGGTACGGTACGGTTCGACACGATACGATACGATATATATTAGTCATTAAATCACAGATGTATTATTATTATGTTGTTCCGCGTCGCCCACACCAACGCCAACGCCAACGCCGGGCGTTTGGTCCGGCGGCTCTGCATTGAGCACCAGATTCTCAATCGAACGAAACGATGCATCCTCCAGGTGCGTGGACATGGCAGGTGGACGAGGCAGCGTTGTGGCCGACGGGCCAGCAATTTGCCGGGACGGCGGTCGATGCCGCACCGAGGAACGCAATATGGTGACCACATCCTCGGCCGTATAGGGGCGTTGAATAAAATTACCGCTGTTACCACGCTCCAGTGTAGCCGTCGTCGGGGCCGAGGCAGACGCGGAAGCCCTCTGGATTTTGCGACCCAGCGACTGTGATCGCTGCGCATAGCCACTTGGACGTTGGCCTATCTCAATAGACTCCGGACTGCTGTTGCCATCGGCGGGAGCAGCAACGGTAGCCCCTGAGCCAGAAGGATTCGTTAATATTGTCAAATAATCTGGCGGTGCGACAGGCGAGGGCGACTCGGCATCCAAGGAGAGTATGGGACGTGTGCGACTTGATGAATCCCCGAGGACTCTGAAAAGGATAACAAAACCAAAAATAGATGATTTTATCATTCTAAACAAAATACATACATATAAAAGTACATATACAAATACAAATACAAATAGAAATAGAAATAGAAATTGCAATATATATAATAATATGAACATAAATATTACAATATATTGATTTGACTTATGTAAACATCATGTTTGATTTATGAGTAATTTTATGTCTTGGCTCGGGCATAGACATATGTCTACAACACATTTGTATTTTGTTATAACTTCACAGTTCGAAATTGTTTCAACCAAATATATTTATCAAATTGCAGCTTAAGTTAATATATTGATGTAAGTCAAAACTTCATAGATTTAATATTGTAAATTTATATAATATATATTATATATATCTTTACAACCAAGAGGTTCTGCTTTAATGAATGCAGATTATGAAAGTAGTAGTAGTAACTGAATATAGGTATATATTCGATAGGTTCGGGCTCAGGTTTCTTGTGGGTATACATATGTACGTGCTGAAGTATTCAATTTTGCATTGTTTTTGGTAACAAAAAGTCTAATTTGATCAACATTTTCTAAATCCTTCTTACCTTCGCACACTGCGTCTGATGCTCTGACGCAACATTTTGGCCAACCGAGCTCCCGTGGCTGTAGTGTAGGATGGCGGTGGCGTGTACTTTGGCGGCGCATCATTTTGTGCATCATGTTGGGCACTATCCTGCTGCTGGGCGGTGGCATTTTGCCGCTCCAAGGCTGAACGCTGGCGAGCGGAGGGGCGGCGTAGAGTATCGCCCTCCGCGGGCGGACGATACAGGTGTTGAATGCGCTGAGGATGAGGGAGTGCAAGAGTTAAAAGAGAATTCACATTGAGCTGAAACCAAATTGACTCACCTCGAGTATATCTGGAGGACCATTGGTCAAGTAGCGGTAGATCTGCACAATGGCTGTGACGGGTATGATGAGCACAATGCCAATTTGTATGAGGCTACCCATTTTCCGGCTCCAGTAGCTGAAGTAGGACTTGCCGCGCCAGTAATAGAACTGATTGGACAGCGAGGCCTTGTAGTCAATCACTGAGAGAGTGATCAGGCCAATCGGCAGCAGCACATTCCAGGAGAGCGCCAGGAATGCAGACATGGAGCCGCACATGCGCAAGTCGTTGACCAGATCGTCTCCATTGTAGGGGCGCCCGCGTATGAGGAACACGCCAAAGATTTGCGCCGCCCAAATGATGGGTATGAACCAGGACCCGCCAAGTAGGAAGTCCACATAATACAATATGGAGATGCCCATTTCTGTAGCGAACGGAATGCTCAGCAGCATCCCAGTCACGCAACTAAGCAGCACGGAGCTCGTCGAGTTGCCCAGCGCGCTCGAAATGGGCTTCCACATGACGCATAGCTGCGCCAGGCCAAAGCCCGCGAACATGCCAAATGCGACTGCGGCCCAGACCCAGGAGACGGCATCGCTAGCCAGCGACAGAACGGCAGGCAGCAGCTCCGTAATGAAGCGCAGTGCCTGAAAGCCGCTCTCTATGTGCAATATGGTCTTGTTCCTGCGATAGGTCTCGCCCAGAAACGAGGAGTAGTGCGGCACCAGGGAACGCGGATAGGACAGCAGCTGGGGATTGGTATGCGCCTGCAACGAATACACGGACGTATACGAATCCGGAGTCTCTGCAAACGGAACAAAACGATTAGCCAATATTTTCAATTTTCAATAGGTGCGTCTTTTAACATACCAAACGAGCCGGGCACATAAACGTAGCCGTGTTGCCGCAGAATCTGCTCACAGCACATCGCCAGAAGCGCCACCAGACTCAAGCCGAGCAGCGTGAGCAGCACGAGGAGTATTGCATCGCGTCGCAGCGTCGCCTTGCTGGCATTCGCATGGGTGCGACTTGTGATGGCTATCACCGAGGCGCCCAGCAGACCCCACGTCAGAAATGTCTCCTGCGTGGCCGCCGTCCATGTGTTTGAATTCACCAGAAAGTCATCAAAATCACTTGCTGCAAAAACGTTCTAAAACGGAAAATATTTCAAAACTATTAGTAACGGAATAAGGGCGGTTGAAAAGATATACTTTTGGAGTTGTAAGTCTATGTATATTGGCCGCTTTATTTTATTGCCTGTTGCTCCCACCTTAGTCGATTGAGATGTCTCGGTCTTGTTATCTATACTTCCAAAAACCATTTCGCAGCTATTGAAATTTTAAGTATATATCGTCTGATAATGTCAAGCTATCCCTATATTCCCACTAAGGAGCAGGAGGAAACCTAAAGACAAAAACACTGATATTTCAAGTGCTAGAGAGTTGAAATTTGAAACGTATTGAGTTGAAGCCCAAGATTAAGAAAATAAGTAGAAATTTATAAATCATATTCGGGTAAATCGAACATCTTCGCGAACATCATTTCAAAACAAAATTTTGGGTTGAGAACATGCAAGTTGATGAAGGTCTTAAGCCTTAAGGGCCATACACGTTTATTTAAAACAAGAGAAGGCACCTGACTTTGCGATTCTTTTTATTTTTTCCAGTTCGCGCCTGTACGAAGCGCGCAGAGAATTTATTTTCGTTTTGACAACATCAATTGTGTCGTTTTCGTCGACCTCTTTTTATTTTAATATTAATATGTCCAAGATTTGCTGCGCAAGTTTTTACTTTTTTTAGGTTTTTGCTTTTATGTTTCAACAAAGCCGGCTCATTTTAAAAACAATCAGGAAATTTTCGGTTTATTTTGGCATGTCTTGACTGTCCGAAATATTTCTAGAAATGATGTTCGTGCGAACACTCGAATCCATTGTCGAACATGTTGCACGAACACTCGTAAGACAGAAGTATTTGTATTTGTGTGCGAACACAGTCGGCGAACAAAATGTTCGTACGAACACTGCTATCCACATTCGAATATTTGACGAACACAACAAATTCGACTGTGGATGCCCCGCCTAAGACCG